GAGGAGGCGCCGTTCTCTGATTGGGACTAATTTTGGTCCCAGTCGGGGTACACTTTTTGGTCCAACTTTCTCCGAATTGAAATCCGTTTACACCGTTGCGATGAGACAGTCAAACTCTATTTAATGATATAATTTTTATATTTATTTGAAATACTTTTTCTGACAGCATATTTTTGGGTGTTGACTTTGACAGAGTCAAAATTGAATTAATTGATATGTAATTAAAATTAGTCTCATATTCAATCAATATTATTAAATATAAATACTTATTTCAATACATCATTTTACAAATGCTCACATCTTTGACTTCTTCTCATTTTTATACAAATTACATATTTAAAATGTCATAACTGAACTTCTGTACATCAGATGTATTCATAAAATATACCGTTGGTTTCGTCTCTTCAAGACCTATCCATAAAAGTCAATCTTAACAAAAATTATTGACTCTAAAAATTCCTTCATTTTTGGTCAAACATAGAAATAATGCTTTGTTGAGTCAAAATATTGTTTCTAAAAATACTTTTATAATAGAATAACTTTTAGACTATGTTTTGGGGCGTTACAGTCATTGACCATGAGACTAAGTCAAACATCCAACACACACTAGTCTCACATGCATTAACGATATCCCACTCTCGTTAATACTCGACTATGGACAATTAGATAAATATTTATTTCAAGATGTTAGTCTCACCAGCAGAATAACACTATCTGATAAACATCTTTAAATATAAATCTAGGAATATAATATTTGTTTACATTAGCATGAGATGTGTAAACATATTATATCTGCCTATACATAATAGAATAATGATAAACAGTTGGCCATCAGGGCACAACTCCAACATATATATCCTTACTCAGCTTCACCGCTGAGCGTGTAGAATGTTTTATTTGCTACACGCAGGTAAATCAAATAAAGAATGATGTGATTGATCCTGGTGGCAAATGGGGACACGAGATTTCAGATGGATGTGTGATGGTTTTGAACTGTTCAATAATTATTTATTAAGTTTCCGAAATTTGATAAACCTTTACTACATTTAAATATTTTATGATGATGAAATAAAGTTTCAACTGTTGAAATGTTTTAAATTTTATAATTACCAAGTTTATACTTTAGTCCGAAAGGGGATGCAGACATGGATGGATTAGGGTGTTACAGTAGGTAGTAGCTCTAAGTCCTAAGATAAGGTTGTGGATAATGATGCATTGGCCTTAGCCTAGAATAGGTTATGAGCTAGAGTTTGATATGAGCTATTGTCATGACTTGAATATTGAGTTAATAACATATGTAGGCGAAGAACCAAGGTAAGTAACATGAAGTACGATTGTTATAACATAGTTGATATTATTTGATGCTCGTTATGTTATATTATTAATGTTGTATTCGTGTACATGATATTCTATGAAATTATGAGCTAGTGAGTTCATATATATGCGTACTCGAACATTAGATATTTCTCACTGAGCAGCAATGCTGAGCGTGTGGCATTTGTCCTCTGCTTACATGTGGGCAGCATGAATGACGAATAAGGAAAACAATATTGGAGGGCAGCGAGGGTGAAGAGATGGATGGATGTTGGCTGAAGGAGTTTATTTAATTAAATATATCATTTGAGTTTATTATGTTTTCGGGCAAGAACCTAGAACTTTATTTTGATCTGAGTACTTAAGCTTCTGCATTGTTTTGTTAACTCTAATGGATTTATAAATATTTTTTTTGAATTAAGTGTTTTAAATTATTTTGAAAATTATTGTATTTGGATGCCAATCTCGTGCAGACCCGATTCGCTGGTCGATGCATTCGAGTTATGTGGGTCGGGGTGTTACACGGGTGACCTCATTCAACACCAGAGCCCACTTTGGATGCACATATAATATCTCCCACGCTTTCATGTGTGAGAAAGATGTACTATACCAATTTTGTTACATGTTCAACATTATTTTTAAAATGTCTTGGTCACTAGCCCCGCTTTGCCGAGTGAGGACGGCGGAGTTGTATATTGTAACGAACTTATTGACTTTTTCATTAAAGTTGTGGCATTTTGAGGAGATTGCATCAAAGTCGCGATAGGGCTTGGTGTTTAGAAGGCTCTGGAATTTAGTTGTTACCCTAGCTCAAAAGATGTCCGCATTTTGGGCCATCCCTAAACGCGAAAAAAATTGTAAGCAAAAAAAATATAAGTAAAAATTGTAAGAAAAATTGTAAAGTAAAAAAACTAACCTTTAATCGGGTCTTCCGAGCCAACGCTTCCTCCCCCATTGCCGTCGACACTCGCTTTGCCACCTGGTTTGTGGAGTCTTCATTGCGTACGACCTTCCTTTTCAATTTTCAGGTTGGTTGTGTTCTGGGGACGCTCTCAACGGGTGTTGGCCCGACCGTTCCCGAAACTTATGATGGATTTAGTAAAAGCTGGCATTGCCACTTGACAAATTGCAAATAATTAGGATCTATAATATGATGTTTGATAATATATAGAGAAATTAAAGGGTAAATAGGTTGAGAGAATATATTGAGAGAAGCTGTGATTTTTAAAAGGGGTGGGGGGATTTAAACAATGATTTTGGAAAAAGCAAAAAATTGAAAAACTAGCCGTTTAACGGCTAGTTTAGGGGAGGGAAAACGTCTTGGTCACCGAGATGGTCATCACCCCATCACGGTCACGGTAAGAGGGGGCGATGTTCCACGCCGTGGTGGATGCCTATGTGGCGCCACCTGGCCATCACGGAGCTACCACGGAGACCATATTGTGTGGTCTTACTTCAAGTGAGGGTGCACATCACCAACTTATCATAATCATTTTCAAATAGTTAACTTAAACTAAAAATATAAATTAATCTGAAAATAGTTTTTAAATTATTAACTTTAAAAAATAATATAATTTTAAAAAATATCATTATATTTATTTAAAAATAATAATTAATTTTTTATAACTAATTAAAAATATAAACTATACTCTATTAATATTTGAGTTTTTTGCATCATTTACTCCTGAAGTTTTAGAAAATTGGGCGGATTTACTCTAAACATTAAAAATTGCACCAATACCCCCTAAACTTTTAAAAATGTTGCACCAACGGTCCCTCTATGCCAGATTTGAGAGTGTGTTAATCACACGCTCATCAATATAAGTGTTGGAGCTTGATGAAGATGCCATAGATTGATAAAGAAGTTGATTGATTGATGGTGAGCTTTATCGACTGATGTTTGACCTTCAAATTCAGTTATCGACACCTAAATCGAAAATAATTATCTAGTGTTTAAAAAGGTTAAAAATATAGAAAATAATATTTGGGAAGGGCATATTGCAAATCTCACAAAAGATATATGACCTTAGATGAATCTACACTTGCACTGGATGAGCGTCTGATTAACGC